AGGTGAGGGTCACAATTTTTTCTTATCTTGTTTAGAGTCATTGAACTCCTGAAACTATTAAGGTTTTAAAATGTCAGTTATTTATTTTTCTTTGCCACAAGGTGTATTTCATAACCTCTAGAATAAAACTTGTTTTGTTGAGGTATAAGTAAGATTTGGTATCAGTCGAGACAGTATGATGTAATCTGTTGGTATCGAGAGTGTTAACATGTATCGCCGAGCAAGGGGAATTATTCTTACCTAGCCTTGAGTATGCCCTTGAAAATAATCAATATACAGATTCTATGGCCACATTGGTTTATCATCCCAATGCGAACATGGATAACGTGTCCAATTTCAATGCAAGAAACCTTGCAATGAAATTCTCTGTCTATATCATAGATATACTCATATTACACAATGCATTACTATCAAGCTGGCCCTGAACATGATTAATTTGGCAAAATTCAGGTCAAGTTCACCGGTTTAAAGTCAGTTGTAACTCTCAACGAACTTGAAGTTGAACTCAGTACACATTCTATATGTCTGACGAAAACGTGGTACACAACACGGCGGAGCAAGATATTTGATAATTTAGGATTAAATATGAGAAAAAATTAAACTTTAAAGATGATTTTGGATGATATAGAAATGGTAAGTACTATGATAATTTTGAAGATTTGTCTTAATTAAATAATTGATAATTTTCTTAGTTGTAAAATATTTTTTTTTTTAGAAAATTATATGTATCGGTTATGGAATGAGTCATAAGTGAAGATGGGATGGGGTATTAAAAAATTGAATATTTATCCTCATAATGACGCATAATTTAAAATAATGTCTAGTCTCATGGATTTATTTAACCAACAATTTTTTCCTCTTGTCATCATTCATTTTTATTATTGAATTTGGTAAATGTAAATATATTTGCACATAAACTTCAGTTTTGTGGCATTGGCAATTTTTCTTATCAATTCTTAATACTAAGTGCTTTTAAAGGCCACTTGTTCAATGGTCAAATATACAGAGCTTCATCATATGACAAAATTTCCAAAAGTCTTGTCCCCCCACCCATTGGTGAATATGTTCCCTTTCCTTCTTGGTAAATATTTACTCCCTTTATTATCCCTTCTCCCCCACCCTCCCCACCCCCTACCAGCCTGGGTAGATAATCAACATTCTCCCTTCCCGGGCAAATATTTACCCTTACCTTTAATAAATGTAGGCGTGGTGACGGAAAATTCATTCTAATAATGTCATATTGTTATTTATTGAGCAAATATTGATTGATTGCTATTTAGAACCTGTTCTCATTTAAATTACCTTCATAAAGTTATATGACGAACATGACATTCATTAAGTGCTTTTACAGGATATTGTGTAATAGACTAAAATCACCTGATATTGTTATATTTCCATAAACAACTTTGAATAAGGTTAACAAGATTGGGGTTATGTACTTTGCACAAAGGGCAAGATCACACCAAAACTACATATCTGTTAATTATTCACTTACTAAAGTCCAAATACCATTTTGATTGGTGCCCTTTTGAATTCCAAAAATCATTTCTTTTATTCTAATCCATTTGGCATCTGGCTACCCTTTGCATTCGTTTGACTTCACTTCTTAAAAGAGAGCTTCGTCTTCACTCTTTCAAACTAAAACAAACCTGTGAACTCACCGCGCCAATCAGTGTTCGTCGGCCAAATTTGACCGACGTTCTATATATGGTCATTCCTTCTGAGGTCATCGTTGAGCCAGGAATTGACCAATGACATGCGCATATTTAATTAGAACGCATTTGGCGTATGTTTGTTCAAGCTAGCTGAATGGTGGAAGAAAGGCCAGCGCATAGGTCAGAAGTGATTTATTACCCAAACTTTCACTGGTACCCGTCGTGGGGGCGGGGCTACTAAACTGTAATATGGTCTCTACTAGGCAGAGTGTAGTTTAACTAGACTCTGCACACAGGGTAGCATCTGGCTAGCAGTACCATAGAACAGACAATGCCCTCTTTTGGGGAAATTCCAATTCAATTCTTATATCTGTATTTTCAAATATTTTTAATACATGAAAATAAATAATATTTCTCATTTATGCCTATTTGACTTTATTGATAAGGAAAGTGCTTTATTCCCTAGCTTTGCTGTACCATTCATTACTATTCTATTTTAGTGGAAAATCAGACATTTCATTTGTATTGATTTGCATTTTGTGACATTTTGATAAGTCAAAGTCACCATGACACCATTAATGTGTGATCTATTTTTATTGGACACATTGTCTGTTGAACTTTTACCATGATATGGATTTATACTTTAATCATAATGTAGTTTTAAAATGATACTATAATTTAATAGTCATCTTTATTCTCTTTATTCCGTATTATTATACTCTTTTATTTATCATATGGTTTCTGGGGCTTTTCTCTTCTAATATTACCCATTCAGCCTCTCGTTTTGAATTAATATATTGTATAGCAAATTAGCAATGTCTGATTCTCATTAAATTAAGAATTTCACATTTGGTATTTCCTGGAAATTGTTGAGGAATAGTATGTAAAGTTGTCTACGAAATACATGTGTTTTATCCTCACTTCCAAGAGATTTATGTTAGACTGTACAGACAGGTATCCTACAACAAAACAAATGTGGAATATTATAAATGAACATTGTGATATTCTGAAATGTTACAACATAGTCACTTATTAAAGAAGGTGAATCTGCTTTATTCAAGGCTATTGCGTTTTGTGTTCAAAGTATATTATATCTGAGTCTTGGAAGGAATCATGCTGTTTAAATATGATATTTTGCTATATTCAATTCTAGGTCATTGTCCTGTGTAAAAGTATTCCAAAGTCACAAAAAGAAATATGCTGATTGTAAATTATGTCATTTTCTCAGATAAGCATATTGTGGCTCCAATAGTTGAGTTTAACATATGTTTCAGAATCTCCATAAGGAGACAATTGTTGTATGTTCTCCTAAAGGAGAAATCCATAACAAAAAATTCAAGTATTTTACAGTCCTTACTGAAAAATCAAGTTTCAAATATATTTTGTCTTAATATTGTACTTATTTGAGATATCCAAATAGAGTGAAACCTGTCTTAATATTGTACTTGAGATATTCAAATGAAGTGAAACCCGTCTTATTCGAACACCACTGGGACCAGCCACAACTTTTCAAATTATATTTCAAGGTTCCTTAAAATGTGAGTCAGGGTAAGATAACAAAGTGGCGACTAACAAAATATGCTCATATTGAGAGGTGTTGGAATTAGAGAGTTGTTGGGAAATACAAGTTTTACTGTATTTAATACTTGCCTATTTGGTTACTTTTTCATAGGTAGAAACATTTACGTAAGCCCAATTAGCAGATAGTTATTAGAAAAACGTTGGGATGCCTTATTGGAATTTGATTGGTTGCCAGACCAAAGTTGTACTACTCACGAGACATAAGAACACGTTGCAAGCTCACATATATAATTTTTCAATTATCCCGTTACTCAGCATTCTGGTATTGACACTTGTAGCAACTAGTACAAAATCAATTTCACAGAGATAGCACTATTGAACTTATATTGCTTTGATTTAGGATAATGGATACATAGGATTTACATTTTTACCAACAAAACAGGAGTAAATATAAACAAAAAAGCAAAATTTGACAACTTCTGTCCAAAATGCCAGTCTTTCAAGAGGATGAAGTATTCCGTGATTTTTACGACCAAACTGCTGTTAAGTTCCATGTCTGGCCGGATGCTGTATCGAAATGGCACGTGCAACAGGTCGATAATTTATTATTATTTACTCTGAAAAGATATTTATTTTGATTGTTTGTTTATTAAGTTTTAATATTTTGGTTGTCAAGTTAAAAATTGACAATATGGTACAAAATAGGGAATGAAATAAAAAATGCAATGCACTAAATAATACGTTACAAGAAAATCATATAGTTCATTAAAAAGTTTGAGATTAACCTTTGGAAAGTCATGTCCATTTTTCATGGCAATCGGGCGTTCATTATACAAATTTTATATCCATTTCTAATTTTATAACAAAATAAATTACACGTTTTTAGTTGAAGAGGCAGTTAAGAAGATATAAATCAGATAGTAAACCGTGAATTAAATATCATGGTTGTCAAGGTGACATATCTTAAAAGCGGAATGAGAAATATCTTGGTAATTATCGTTAGCAGGCAATGTCAAGGAAAATATACTTAAGAATTGAGATTATCATGCTATGTTAAACTCATCAAGATGTATGTAAATGCATGTAACCATTCATAATTCCTTTGGTTAAGACTCAACAATTGTATCAGTAATGTTAAGAAGTACCATTACAAAATTTTGTTTTCGCCATGATGGATTTGAGTTCTATGAAGAAAAATCTGAAAACCCTCAGTAAGGAGGGTTCTATTATTTAATGGATTTTCTGCGGAAGTTCATTTTATATTTTTAGAGCGAACATGATAAAAATAGGCACTGCTATATTGATACACTGCAAGGTGGCTATTGACTAATTTAACGTCATATCGATAGCCCATGCATGAAATTTAGTAGTGTTTTTGTTTTATTACATGAAAACATTTGAGGGAAATATTTTACAAATACCAAATTCAGCAGGAAGATCGCCATAACAATTAAGGATCTAATGAAATCGTGATTTTGTATCATACCTTGACAAAGTACATGAATTGGAATAATTGTGGTAGCATATAAGACATGGGTATATATTGGTGCAGTTAGCATATATAAAAGAATACATTAGTTCAGATCATCAATAAATCGTTAATTTTTTATGTACCATTGTGACATAAATGCACTCTGTGGCAAGATGGTGGGTAGAACATTCAATATAACTCTGTTACAGCAACCCTATTTCAAATGTCACTGCATATTTTTTCCTGCTTTAAAAAGTATTGAATGTTGGAAAGCATAGTTTCAAACAATAAAAAGTAAATGAAGATATTTTTCTAATGCCCAACTTTAAATGTAATCTCTCCTGTGTTTTCAGATATATAGACCTTTAATCAGAATGGCAGCTGGGGATCTAGAAACCCCACACAGGGACGAGAGTCACAATGATGTCCACGAGGATGTCGGCCAAGGTGCCATCTTATTTAGAAACTATAAACTCAAACAATACAAGATGAAAAGCTCTCAGTTGCGCGCCAGTTCCCCCACGTGCTCTGATATTTCCGAGTCAGGCTCTGGGAGGGATGACTCTGGGGTGGAAAGCATATCCAGATCTCAACGTAGCCCAATCTCTGAATTTTCTGATCTCAATAGCGATAAACTTGATGATATTCGTAGTCGTAGCGATAGCTGTGGAAGTCGAATTAGCAGCTTCTCCGACACAAGTAACTACTCCAGAGGAGAGCCTCCAATGTTGAAAAGGGAACACCCGGAAATACATGGTTTGAATCGCAGTCTCTTAGACATGCAGTCTCTCTGTGAGCGTAAACGATTTGAAGAGTTCGCAATGAAAATCAAGAGTGAGCCTAGCCAAGGGGAGCCAACGTCACAACAAATGAGATACATGAGTCCGTCCATGGCGTATGGAAACCCAATGAATGGTTTGAGTGCCCTCGGTGGGCTGAACATGAATAGCATGGAGGGACTAAGCCGAATGGCCCAAATTAATAGCTTTAATATGAACAACATGCAAAGTAACGGTGGAAATCACGCGGGTATGAAGTTCATACCTGTCATGTCTAGTATGCCTAGTGGACTCCCCCCGATGATGTCCCCAGTCATGATGCAATCATCACCCAATATGATGGAAGGACTCTCCCCCGGAGCCTTCCACCCTCACTCCCACCCTAGCATGCAACACCCATCCATGAAAACACCATTCCATCCAAATGGGCTCAATATTAAATCGGAGTTTCTGAATGAGCCCAAGTTCAACTCTCTTCAGCAAGAAAGCCCGAGAAATACTCCTCCGGCGCCACCTACCCATACACCTCGTACCAAAGAAGAGGAGCTAGAAATGAAACGACGATTCTACGCCAATTACAACCTCGATTTTCATGAGATTGAGGCTAAATGCCGAGCACAGATAGCTAGTCAGGCTGAGGAAGCTCACAATGGATGCGACAGTGACAACGATGAACCTATGGCGTGTGGAATTTGTAATGATAAAGCCACAGGGCTTCATTACGGAATCATCACTTGCGAAGGGTGAGAATTATTTTTGTATAGATAAAGATTATAAAGTTTGAAAAGAGATCATTTTTTTCCTACATTTAAAACAATTAACAATAATTAACACAAAACTGAACATAGTTATCGAAATTGTTGAAAGTTAAAGGTGAGAATTATGTTGTTGATTTCAATTTCAGGTGCAAGGGTTTTTTCAAACGAACTGTCCAAAACAAGAGGGTCTACACATGTATAGCTGATGGGAACTGTGAAGTGACAAAAACACAAAGAAACCGCTGCCAGTATTGCCGATTTAAGAAATGCTTACAAAGTGGAATGGTCTTAGCAGGTAAATATAGGCTTGCCGTCGTAATGAATATATTAGTGTATTATGTACATTAGAATGTACGTCATGTTTTTGAAATGAAGTAGTGTGAAAAAGAGAAATTAGCAAAAAGGGAGAAGTTAGCAACTATATAATGATGAATACAAATGAATGAAGTTGACGCCCTAAATTAGGATGCCACAGAATAGATTCAGGCATTCGCCTATATTTCTAAGATGAGGTAGAAGAAATCGTTTCATCTCTCTGCTCAGGTGTGACTTGAATTTATAAAAGTCACGTGTATACAGTATATTATCATTCAAGTTGAGAGACGTCATGTGAGGCTGAATAAACGTGGACTTTGTCAGGTGGTGTAACATTCGAAGGAAGTAATTTCTCTCATTGATTTTGTTATTTAATTGCTATATATGAGGAATGATTCTGTACATGTGACTATCTAGTCATGATATCAAGTTACATAGTTATTGTATGTAATATGTCTATGTAAGAATGAATTATATATTATATGTGTATCATTCAGTCTCGTGACACATGTGATAATTAATGATATAATGGGCAATGAGATCCAAGGCAAATACACTCCGATTTAATTTTATTGACGCACAACCCAACTAAATATAAATATCGTCACATGTTCTCGAAGTTACAGAGGTCTCTAAGATACATGGATGACACGTGACATTAGAAGCACATTTCATATTATTTATTTAATTTCATATGATTTGAATGTTAAGTAACCCAAAACGATTACTCACATCGTTTGTGACTGTTGCCATAGCAACTAATGTAAGTGTGATCTCTAAGCACTTGTTTTAATATTTCTCCTCCTTCTCAAAAAAATAAAATATTCTAATCAGGGATGTAATCAACACATTTTTCAGCTGAAATCCTTGATTAAAAAGTCCATCAGGGTGTCTTAATCATAAATAAACCTGAATAGTTAAATGACACTTTCCAATATGACTTGGGAAATTGGTGATGTCAATCTCATTGGTGACCAAGGTGACTTTCACCTGTTTTTTTTGCTCCGATCCATCGGCCGGTGTCTGGCCGATTGAGTGTTTTGTTCAATATAATTGTATTCAATTTTGAACAAAATACTCAATCGGCCAGGCGCCGTAGTAAAAATCGGAGCAAATGTGACCAAGGCATTACTGTTAGTTTTAAAGTGCAATCAGAAAATTAACACTGACCTATTTAGCGAGTAAATAGCCTAGTTTATTTGTGGATGTTATACTCTTGCATAGGGGATTCACTATTCAATAGCGAGTTGTCAATTATTCTTGATTTAACTCATGTTGACATGTAACTGGGACACAATAACCTTGATATGCCTTATTAATGATGGAATAAGAAGACACTACATTGGGACAGTGTGACTTTTGATACGGTACAATGGAATCTTCAGCCTTTTGAGTGACTGAAACATTTACATGGGTCTATTTTAATATACATATGTCCTTTAAAATCATAAGATAACATTAATCTGAGGCAGTCTGATCATCATGTAAGGGATGCGACACGTTTTATATGAGAATGGAAAAAGTAAATGTTTAATGCTGTCATATGGTTAGGATGATCTTCTTGTTCTAAAAATATCTGACAAAATCAATTTTAAGTCAGTGTCTATAAATGTAATCATGTGATCTAATCAACCAATCAGATAACAGCGAGGGTTGCTTGTTTCATGATCATTCACCTCATTTATGAGCTATTTCCATCTATTCATATTCGTCCGTTTTTAGTCGTTAAAATGAATGAATTTTCTTATTTTTGGCATTTCTATGAAATTCAGAGTTTTATATTCATGCCTGTTTATTTTATTCCTGAATTTTATTGCTGAATCCTCTATTTCTGGCTATATTTAACAACAAAAACATTGATCGCCGTGACAACATGACATTTCAATTTGTACAAATGAGTTTGTTTTGACCCAGACTTTCAAGGGCATGTTATACCTCATAAGATATTGCACAAATTATCGTCTCTGACCTTCAAATCTGTATCTTTATCCAGAGCAACGATAACTCTTTTTGCCCTTAGTTTTAGTACTTTTTATTAAACCTAAAAAGATATAATATTGTCTATACTGTCGTCGGTGCGGAACAGGAAAGGCAAAAATATTCATATAGAGTTAACTCTGTTAAGAGGGTAACCTCATATATTATGCAGATGCTTTGGATTAACTTTAAATTCATAGCTATTTGATATAACATTAAAGCAAAAATGTTCACAAGGTAGCTGTTTCTAAAAGTATTTGATATCTTAATTTCATCAATGCTGTAATTTTATGACATGCTGGTGTAGCACATCAATTGCTATCCCATTGACTCCTAAAGGAGACGATCTCCCTCACTATCTTTCACATTGGAAATAACAAACTCTAGTTAAGCTATCATTATGACATCAGTGGATAAGGACCCTCAGGTTATAAACTTTTTATTATAGTATACAGTAATTTTATGAGTCTTTACTGACGACAAGTTCAAAGCGACTCCATAAATCTACAATTAAATAAAACATTCTCTAACCGAGGTACGTGGTTTTGCAACCTCATCAAATTACATTTCACTGGGGAGATCGTGTTACGGAAAGAATAAGTGCTGTGTATTATTTGAGGTTACCACAACTTCCCAACACATTGTATTCTAGTTTAATTATATGTACCTGTACGCAGAGTAAAGATTTTATGCATGGGAGCTTAAAAAATCACATATTTTTTAAAATATGTTTATTTAACCATTCCTGTCATATCTCATTTAAATAAAAAGTGAAAATATGACTTGATTATGTAGTGGCGTTAAAGAGTGGATATGATATATTTTATCAGTCCAATTTTAGATATCGATGGCAGCTTATTTGTACTTGCAAGAGCTGGATCATCGTGAACTTTTAAATGGCTTCGGTATTGAAAATTCCCTCTTCAAGGTTACAGCGACATTCTCTGTTAATTTGATATTTTCATTGCCACAGCAACGCATGGTTTATGAGACTATTAATGTCAAATGTAGCATAAAACCATACTAGGGTGCTCTTGACTCAGAAATTGCGAATTCCCCCCAGGCCATTAGGATTTTAGCATCATATCATCAAAAATTTAGCGTGTAAAACATGAAACATAACAATCGTGGGTGTAGACAGTCACTAGACAGGCAAGGCATGTGTCTCACCAAAATTTAAAGATGTAGAAATGAGGTTCAATGATAGTATTATATCTCATTTGGCCTAAATTTGCCACACCTATTTAAAATTTGCCTCTGCTATGTTTAAATCCTGTCTACCTCCCTAACAGTGTTTTACTATTCCCTCTATGAATATTAATTTTCTCTAAAGGCATGTGCACTCAATGTACTCGTAAAGTACAACTTCATTTTATTAAATTTTGTTAATTATTCATTTACCCTTTTAAAACATACAATGATTTGAGTAATTGAATTTTATTTCTTATTTCATAAATTCTACAAACAACTCAAAATGCCAACTTATCACTCAAATCCAAATGGCTTTCAAAATTGGATCTAATATGTGTTGATGTCATATTTCTTCCTTAATCGGGCGCATTATCAAGGGCTTGACGTGATTCGGTACATTTGTTACGTAGCTGCACTATGTTGCTCTTACATTTTATGTGAGCAACGCTGATAAAAGTCACCCAATCCCATTAATATGTCAAATTTGAGCATTTTTATTGGAAAGCACTAAGTGCCATCAGAGATTAGACTTTGTTAATTGCATTAAAAATATTAATTTGTTTTTCTTCTCGGAGGACTTACCCCAGAGTAGGACAAAATTATCAAGTTTAGTTGTTTGTTATCAACGTTGTGCAAATATTGATAACGGTTTTTGAGGCATAATCACCCGATCAGTGATCACATGGCCAAGCTAGACACGAATACACACTGTAACATGAATGCAAAACATGTCTCAAAAGCACATCGTGACACGAATGATGCAATAATACATAATGCCATCACATTTCAAGCAGAATATGCACATATGGCATTACATTTCAATTGGCATCATACTTCAAGTAGTCCATATGGCATTATACTTCAATTGGCATCCCGAAGATTAGAAACAAATGGTTAATTCAGAAATTTTTTTATAGTTTGAAGAATTTGTGGACATGTATAAAAAAATTTGAATTATTGTACTTATAAACTGAGTTGCACTCATAAACTGAGTTGCACTCATAAACTGAGTTGCACTCATAAACTGAGTTGCACTCATTTTAATCAGTCAGTGTATTGAATTATGTGCACTTAGCAGTAATTACATCATTGATTACCGTTTCAATCTGCAAGTGTTTCTTTCAGCAAACTATCATTAATGTTAATAAATCAAATACCAATCATTTTAAGTTAACCTTCAAAGAGATAAAGACTTTATATCAGTCCCACGTTGTAATGGTATGATAACTGTTTAAAAAGATACAGTAGAATATATCACGTCACATTTTTGAAATATATCACATGTAGCATCACATGTGATTCCCACATAGTGTTATTACTAGTATAAGCCATTGATAAGTATGCCATTTGTGTCTCCATGTAATATGTATTTATCATATAAATATAACACTTTTTGCTGGGTCTTAGTCTTATTAAGTAGATATAAATAATACCCTGTTACTGTCATATTTCAATGAAACCTAAAACCATGTATTCTTATTATTATTACTCAATGCTAATAATCAGTGTTCTGAAATGGACTTGTCATGGTCATTAGAAGTAGATCAGAAAATCCTTCACATTTTCGACTGTCATGTGCTTTAATGATATATTATAGTATTGATATAGTTTTTGTGGATGGTGTTCGATGGGTGGCATTCAGCTTTTGGCATCTGTAACAAATGGCAGGTTGTGACATTTTGCATGTTTATGCCCTGTTGTTTCTTACAATCAGTCAAAGAAGCTAAAAACATTTTAGTTCAAATTGTAAATGAATTGAAGTATCTCAAACTGAAGTTAACCAAGTTAATGTGAAGCTGATCATAAACTCTCTGAATGAACTCAATTAACATTGATCTTATTTTCAGTTTATGAAATCTAGTCTTTATGTTTATGACCTTGTTTACGATTTACTTTGAGTTTGCTCTTGATTTTTGGTAAAATTCCAGGTTTGCGGTGAAGAAAAAGAAAAACAAACTTTTTGTTGTAAATAAACAGTTTCGTTTTTGATAGATACAAGAAGATGAAAGAATATGCATGGTGAAAGAAAATATTTTAAACACTTTAAATAGTACCTGCCAGATCAGCCTGTCCCTAGCAAGATTAACTCCTGCTTTATGTACATTGAGTTAGATATTAATGTGTTTTTATTGATGTGCTTTCAGCTGTGCGAGAAGACAGAATGCCAGGAGGACGTAATTCTGGGGCTGTCTATAATCTATACAAGGTCAAATATAAACGTCATAAGAAGCGTAATGAAGCCAAGAAACAACGTCTCCAACAGCTGGCATCTCAGAATGGATCTCTTGCCCATGGGTCTCTCCCCTCTTTACCCTCTTCGGGCCTTGCTAGCATTCCCACCTCCCATAGTGAAGAGTTCATGCCTCCTTTGAAGCGCATGGCTATCGAAGCTGCAGCAGCTGCTCGTGCAGAGTTCACAAGATCATCGCATGGCGCTTACGAGAATCGCAACGAAGTGTATAATAATAGTAATTCAGCATATTCTGACAGCCAATCACAATGTATAGATTTATCTCAGAAATCATCATCAATTTCATCTTCTCCAAGCATGAGGTCGCCACCCCCAATGCTGGAAGTTACAGACCCCAATTCATCTACCTCAGGAACACCCTCTCAGAATGGATCTCAGCTAGAGGCCCCACCCCCAAGACAAGTCAGCCCCAGCCCCCAGAAGCAGCAATCACGATACAGCTTACCTCCAACAAACCTCTCACAGATTGTTGGAGAGCTTATCGCATGTGAAAAGGAGATGGATACATCCGCAGCTCAAATGGACTTTCTAGCTCAGAATGAGGACTCTCTTATGAAAGCAATGTGCAAATTAGGCGACTCAATCGTAACGCAACTTGTAAAGTGGACCAAACATCTGCCATTCTATAGTGACATTCCACTTGCCGTACACACCCAATTACTCACGAGTAAATGGCATGAAATTCTACTACTAATCACATCAGCTCAACACGCGCTCACAACCACCGACAATCAATCTCTCGGCGACTTTAACACATACTTCAAAAGTAACATGGAAAAGCTGCAATACTATCTTAACAATGTGCTTGGGAAGGCTATCACAGTGGAGGAACTGGACCAAGAGGTGGGGGACATGATGGAGAAAGTCTCGAGAGTTGGCCATAACTTTGCCAGGATGAGGCTGAATAAAGCGGAATACGTCTGCTTGAAAGTTATTTTGTTACTTAATCAAGGTACGCAACATAAAAGACAAATCACACTTATTTATTATTATGTGGTTCAATTATTAGGTTTTGCATCATTCATAGACCACATACATGAATTCACTTTTGGATAGTCTTGTTTGACTTGGTTTTCTCTGTGCTGATTTTCTATGACAAACATTTTATTCACTTACCAATTTTAGATATTATGAATTTGATATTGTCTATCTGGAATGAAAGCAGATAAAAACTATTACATTCTTCATGAAAATTGCTGCATGAAATTATTCATATTTGTTGAAACGAAGTGATATGATTAATGAAGATTTATATTTATCATAGAATAGTTATAATAATCAATATCAGCATGTTAAATATATCCCAAATGATGATATCTATTATTCATTTCACGATTATTTTTTCAGATCCTAACCCAGATCATCCTTCTCTTGTGGCAATCAAGGACTTTTACATGGCGGTGTTACGTGATGTCATAATGCAGCAACACCCTGGGAACACAGAACGATTTTGTGACCTTCTTGCCCAACTTCCCCAGATACAGAATGCATCATCACTTTTACTGCAGAGTAAAATGATCTACATTCCATTCCTTCTCAATACAATGAAGTCATAAACTGATGATGTCATTATAATGTATGGCCTTTGTCACCAGTTCATGTGTGCACAACATTTGATGACATCATCCTTATACGCCTAGAAATATCAACGGAACCTGATGAGAGATTTTGATTAAATATGCATTATAAGATAAGAGTTTAATATTTATGTGACTATTTAAGAATATTGAGCTTCAAACATATATATATATAAGCTATAATATAATCATTTTTACTTTGGACATGACATCACATCACATCATTACAAAGATGCCTTGGAACACATTTCATATCTTGTGCCTTGTGTGAATATTTGAAAAGGACATTATGGATGGGAAAATAAAAGTAATTTTATATGTACAGTTTATTGACTTAACTAATGCAGAAGAAAATTCCACAAATGTTTTGGGATAAATTGAAATTGATATTTAAATCAACTGTAATTTAGACTTCAATTATTATAATGTGTGTATACATAATGTATTATATTTATAATTGCCTAATGCCTGATGCATTTTCATTGGTTCTCGCATAATGCTTAGTAGATGTAGAATAATATTTAATCAATGAAAATGCAACAAGTAAATGCAGTAAAAATTATTGTCATTTTATAAGGCATTGTGTTGATACTGTATTGTAACATGGTACATAAAATGTATATATGATTTGCATATACATGTAATGTTTACATGACCATTTTTCTAAGGCTTTGAGGTAATACAGAAAAAGCTCTAAAATAGTATATGATACGTAGAAAATATATAATATAGACTATGAGTTCAAAACTGTTCAACTTAAACTTGTGCAATGAATGCCTATGCTATTGATACCAATCTGGTCTATATGTTTTACTCATGTTCAGTCCAATTTAAATAAACGGAGTGTCCGTTTCAGTGCCAGTTACCTGTGTTCCATTTTTATATAATTTAGAGGATAAAAATGTATAACTACATGTATTCATTTTATTTCAAGCATAGATTGTTTTCTGAATCTATTTTATGAAAAATGTGACCAGTTTGGCATCGTATGCATAGGCTGTTATGTATAACCAATCATATACTACCCGACTTGAAGATCTCAGAGGTACTCCTAGGGGAGATACTTTAAAAAACATATTTCTCATATCATAATATGGAAAGTAAGAGGGCAAAAATGTTTATGGACATCATCATAGTTTAAGGTGCTTTTAGATGAGGGGGGTTCATCAAGATATGGCATAAGGAACCTGAGCCCCCTGATGACCCCCCTCTAGTTTGTATAAACTAACTGATTAGTTAGAAATATGTATTCACACAATTGTTATAGTAACAAGTTTTTGGTAACATTAGTTTCTATTGGGATATGGGTTTTAGTTGCTATAGCAACAAGATGCCATTTTATTACAATTTATTGAGGATATTAGTCGCTACTGTGCCATAGATATTTAACCTAATATTGGGAGACTGAGTGAGTTGTAATATATGGCAATAGTTATATGAGTGGGAACTTTATATAACATGAAAAGAGCGAGTTGAAGATTGTTGTGCAGATATGGTTTTACTGCATTGTTTAATGTACAGAGAATGTGGGAATAGTAAATATGAATTTTATGAACTGATTTATCAACCATTTTGATTTAACAAATTGAAAAAATGAACCTAGAAATGAAACAGTTGATAAAATTCATTGAAGGAAAATGGCATTTTAAATCGAAGGAGGGAATTAAATTATATGATATTCATAATTATATAATTTCATCTCCTTCGAAGACAAATGATGCATTGTGGGTGTTTCACAGGTTCAATTTATGTGTGACACAAAAACAAATAATTTGATCCTTTGATTAAAGAAACAGAAAGGCAAATGAAGAGCTTATAAGTCAACCCCGAGATTTCATAATTTTGACACTTGAATGTAAGCCTATTAAAAAACAGGTTAAATAATTTGAAACATATTTATCTAAGTCAGGGGTTTGCTATAATGTCTCAAGGGGAGAATCTAATAAATCATCCATTTTATTGATTTACAAAGTGCGACATGCACTCAGGCAATGTGATGTCCATGTGCCAGCGATGTCACGTGTCATTGATGATGTCACATTTTATGAAGATGATATATTTAGAGTTTCCCAAGATTCACATTTGAATTGAGCCTCAAGGAAAGGTCTTGATTGATCTCTATAAAATCATTATAGAGAAAATCATTAGAGACTGAATCTTGTGTTGAAATTGACTCGATGTGACTGGATCATGATAGTTTGGGCTGTAGATTAAGCGGAACATTTAGACGGATTTGGTATGTACAGAACACAATGGAATTAACCTCTCATGGATACAGAACACAACAGTCCTATTATTCAAGAGTGGTTATTTCCAAAATGTACTGTAAAATAGTTAGAAGCATTGTGGTTACCATAGTAACAATGTTGTCAATAAAAGTTACTTGAATAAAAAGTAAAAGCGGCGATTTTTTGTCCGACACTTTTAGTGCTGAAAATGTGCGTCAATGCATGTGTATATATCTAAAGCGCATGATAGTTATCTTATTGTTTATTCATTATTTACATAGGAATGAAGTAATTTATTATATGTTGAAATTAATTGATTATTATTTATGAATGTACACATTGTGCTGTTGTTATTGCTATATATATATAAATATATAAATTAGTCGTGGACTTATGTGAGTAGAGACATACTTTTGGAGAATGCACTTTATGCATTAAAAATGCACTGTATTATTGACAAATGCACTATGAAATGTCTTGGGTATGGAGCATAGCATTTGTTTATGTATTATTACTGTTAGCATTCAATTCAACTTTTGAAGCTTTATACATATTTCTACACTTGACTTTATTGCTTAATTTTTATTTCTTATGAATATAAAAGAAAAATAACTATCATAGACAATGTCATACATTGATTTTTTAATCTTCTTGAGAATGTAAAGAAACACAGGTCATGGATACTTTTAGTTGAAAGTATATAAAATAATTTTATTTTAGTTACAACACTAATTTAGTTGATTTGCATAGGTTGTTTTGCTTTTATAAATATCAATATTCTCATTTAAAACTCATGTTATCTAATATAGATGTTTTTAATAAGCCAAATGAAATATAATCTTGTCTTGAAATTGCGATGCAAAATATGCTGCCAGTTTTATTAATATTATTTGTTAGAACTAAACATTGGACTTTTCAAAATGTGAAATTGTTTCTGTAATTTATAGTTGGCAAAAAATGAGTTCCTACATTATTATATCATAATTGTATTTATTATATATAAATGTAGCTGTATGTGAATAAAAAAAAACAATAAAATATATAAAAAATAAATTAATTTTAGTTATGTATGATTTTTAAATTTAATTGATTAACCTTAGAGGCAACCTCCTCAAATACTTGTATTGTATCACACCAAAGTTCTATGAACTTATACAAGAGGCATTTCCATAATATTCATCATAACATATTTTCTCTCAATAGGTTCACGATAATCATCCATCCATAGGTGCCATTACAAAAGCACTTTTATGGGGAAGTCTCAGCTTTATGGAAAACACCAATTTTGGAAAAGTTCATCCAGTCAAAGTATCTCACAATTTTTACAATCTATGTACTGTTTTTTCATAAATCATGTTTTTCATAAGATATTTTGGACGCAAGTTCCTCATAAAATAGACATATCCTCATATAAGAATTTTCAAATCATCACCCATTATGTAATGACAGAGTTCAATAAGAACTCATATTTTCAAAATAATAATTTTTCGGAAGAATGCATGATTCTTATTCAATCTTTATTCAAGCTTGAAAGCCCATGATTCAAGTTGTTATAAAATGATCGATGAAAGGTTTTTATTATGCTTGGTGACAAATCGAGTCATAATGTTACATTATGTAATACCTCATAACAGCGACGCCAGCAGTGGCATTGATTTTAATTCCATGGTTTCCAGGGAAAACTGTCTGCCGCCTCATCCCAAGGTTATTCCCCTGTTCACCAAAGTTGTATCATGTCTAACAATAGAAAATGGTTGAGGGCTCACATGGAATTTACAGATTTCTACATTTACGCCCCATTCTCATTACATCAGACAACCTGAAGTGCATAACATACTGTACTCCCAGTTAATTTCACGAGTTTTAATTTCGCAATTTTACCACATTCGTGAAAAGCGTGAAACTAAATTGCACGCGAAAAATACCAGGAGTAGAGTAATTTGCAGTTATTCCAGAGCCAATTTTGTAAGTTCTCATTTATTCTGATTCTAACAGTTTGCCGTCAGGGAGCCTAATTAGTACAATTAAATGATAATTCAATTAGCCTAATATCCTAGATGCGAGTAGAAATAATCTTGATTTACATCAATAAAAATTCACAGTTCAGTCAAACTGGTGTCATATTTGGAATCTACATATAAAATTACTTCTAAAAATGTGGTTTTGAAAAGAGTTTATCAACTTTGAAAATTTAATTTTCTTTGAAAATGTGACTTCTAGGTCCGGGAGATTCCCCATAGACCCCATGTTGTAAAAGTGAAATATCTTTTCTTGTGTTGGGCAGATAACATTTTCTTTTACTGGACATATTTTAATTTGTTTAACTATCAGATACATAAAGGTAATTTGAAAAGTGAACCACTAAAACTGATGCATATTCAAGTTTAAGGGAATTTTGTAATATCCTGCCATGTTATTTTCCCCAAATCAGCCGCCTGGTGGCGAAACTGGTAACTACCTACTCGCATCTGAGTAATTAAAGGGATGTTTCATAACGTACTTCCTTAGAAACATCCCTTAATTAGGCTAATTATTTATTGATTCTTATTAAATTAAGGTGGGACATACGTCTTAAAGATATTTTATTGTTTGGCTTACCTTATTATGTTCAATTGCTATCTACTTTACCCTATATTTTTTGGTTCAAGGGTGAGTTGTTTTCAGTAGTCATACTGCTTTGAAGATGAGTTTTGATTTTCTGTTGATAAACGTTAATTCTTTTTTTATTTTAACTACATCAGTGCACTTTATGAATGAAGTTTAAAATGTTAGGATATAGTATCAAATAAAAAGTGGAAGTGAAATATAAGTTGCTGTGGCATCAGTGACCTTACATCAAACAGTATACGTGTTCTGTTTACAGCAAAAATATGAACGAAACTGACATAAAAACTGTTTTCAAAGGTACATTACCCATCAAACCCTACAGCAGATGCAAGTCAACGGCAAACCCGACTAGTGGCCACCGTTGGACCTTTCTGCGGTCTGACAATGGCCTGTTGATTTCTACAGGGTCCGCAGCAATGCACAAAAATATTATAACTCAGAGTTATGATTTCTACAGCTACCCTGCGGCCTGTAAAAAACTGGATACGCCGTACGGAGACCGCAAGGCGAGCGTGGTTTTTCTACGCTCGCTGCAGAAATTCACTGATTTAATTGATCTGCAGTCGACGCACGGCCGCCATACGACAAATGTGACTGGGGTGTAAGACAAGTTATTTGTAATTTTGTACAATTCTACTAGGCTACCATCATTCCATGTCTTGGTTTTTTTTTAGTAAACCAGTCTCACTTTATTTCATGATTATTTTTATGAATCTGCATCTTAAATCTTCAATATTTGGTCAGACATCAATTCTTTTTTTTTCCAGAAAATAAAATGATTGTAAGGACATGTTTTTTTTAAATAGCCTATACTGTTTCCACTCTGCTGTATCCTTCCACTCAATTTAATTTAATTAATAGTTAATATATTCAAGATTTTACTTTATCCGAGACTATCTATTTACCTCTCTTTCTTTCTCGCTTTTATTAGTGAAAACAAACAAAAGAACACATTTTTTCAAGAACAAATTTATTATGGCCAAAATTTGAATAAGTCATGATTCTGAAATGAAAAGAAGCATGGAACAACTTTGCCACATCCACATAAGCCCTATAGATATTATTAATATATTACATATTTATCAATAACTACCTAATACCAAAGTATGTAAGAATTATTGCTCTTGTTTCAGCATCCGCCAATGCTTTACACATGAAATAATTCTCCCATGCTTCGGGTAAAAATCAAATAACAGATTCTTAATATTCATATTAAAGCTGCATTACATTGATGATGTAACTATAGTACATTAAAAAAAACTTGTTGCATAAACGACACATGTTGCATAAAAAAGCATCAGAGTATCTCCCAGGGGTTTTAATTTCTTTAATATCCGCCTAATATCAAATACTCATCCCCACGAGTAAATATTCTGATAAATACAAGTCATTCTTAACAAAATTCCAATGAATTCTACTATAAGCAATATTTCAGTTTTTAAAACAATGAAAACAACTCATTGCTATTTACAGGTCCTCTACCCGCCAATAGATGACCTGATTTTAACAGAATTTGAATTTAGTGCTTCATAAACTGAACTGAAGTCCATTTGAACATATTTCAATTTTTTACATTTTAATTCATCACTACCGCCTATAGTTTTGAATAAAATGTAAAAATTGTAACAAGTTTAAAATCTATTTCTCATAACATATAACTGATATAATAAAAAGCGACCACAATTTCAAATGCTTTACAGGTATCCCATTCCAGAATCATGCAAATTCGTAAAAAGGTAATTTTGAAATCCAAAATATAACTTTTCAAAGTACAGTACATGATTTTTTCTTGAAGTAACAAGTCAGTTATAAAACTGAGAAAAACCTTTAACAATGTTTTAACTGATTTGGTACAATATTATGACAACCACATTTTTGTTGTGTCATATGAGTATATCAAGTCAAAGTGTCTTGAACATTCCAAGTATCTTTGCTAAAAAATCCCCGAAAAAATATTTCATGAAAAATTGATGAATGATCTGTCCATCGGGAAAACATCAGGCCCGCCAAAACCTCACATAAACACAAACAGTAAGAATATTCACTAAGATTCCATTTCGAAAAAATGTGTATATGTTTTAAAACTTCAGATGACACTCATGTTTATTTTGTATCTTATGGTCCGCCAACCAAAAAATCAAAACAGACAATACCTCCTCCTTAAATGCACATACTATAAGTAAATCTAAATAAGCAATAGAAATCCTCTATTATACTACGAATACAGTCTAGGTAATAATATTTAATAAAAAAACAATCCTCAACATGATTTCGCTAATTAACATCAATTATCACTCAAGTCCAGTGGGTATCCGTTTCGATATTTCATATCCGTTGTTTCCACTTTTTTAATTTCATATATAATCCTATAAGAGTCCATGTTAGTTGATGAACAAAGAGCGGGTGAGGTTAACGTAATCGTACGCTCCCGGGATCTCGAATCCAGACGCATCTGTGTATGGTTGCATGCGCCGTATACAATAATCCGCCTGTTCTTTGGTAAGGTTCTGAAACATTGAAAAGGTAAAATTATAACAAAGGTGTATTAAAATGGCTTAAATGTTGAATTGGAAATAAGATTTTGATTTCACTGTATAGACTGAAAAAATAAGTGTTAGGAAATTGAGGGATTAGGACAAAAACTCTGAAATGCTATATCTGAACACGATTGTTATTGAATATGCCAAGCATGTATTCTGAATGATATGAAATTCACTTACGGCATACAACTCATTGGCAGTAATATATGGTTTCTCCCCTGCTGTAAGGGCACGGAAAGCTTGCTCAACCTCACTGGCTGACTGCACATTTTCTGTCTCCCGACTTATCATAAATGCCATGAACTCTTGCAGTGAAACATAGCCATCTCTGAAATACAATATTTCAAACATATGTACAATTCAATTAAACATCTTATTCCATAATGTTTCCCCGAGGAAATAAACAGGGAAAAGAATGATATTAAAAATCATGTATTAGAACAATTCCTGGTGAATCCTTTTGATTTTTACATTCTTCATCAGCACATTTCTACCGGTATTGAACAAAAATTGTTTGGAACTGCTTTAGAAGAAAATTTGAAAATAAACAAGGTCTAGAACTGTTACAGATATGTCTAGATATGCAACAGAGGACATGGATGATTTCATTAGCGCTGGGAAAATATCATATTAACACTCAGGATATCACCCTTGATCAATATGATATTTTTCTCGGTCAATATCATATTTTTCCTCGGAATAAAATTCATATTCCATCCCTCCCATTAAATGTCCTCTACATATTTCATAAAGACTTTGATATTTGATGGAGTCATGTATGTTTAATTCAGTTGTTTCTAATACAGCTATACTTAGATCAGTAATGTTCATTTATAATTGATTGATATTTTCATATGATCTTTTTAAACATACCTTACTTTATTTTCTAAATGTCAAGAATTATCTATAAACTCCAATATCTTTATATTTCCAGGTAATGTCAAATTAAGAACAGGTAGGTGGAAACTCTTAACCTTATATGCCCTAACAGAAGTATTAAATGTCAAATTTGCCCTAACATTATTTAGTTTCTTGCATAACTGAATTACATATTGCTGAACTGAATTGATAAAAATTGTTTGGAAATCCTAACCTGTTTGGATCAACTGAATCCAAGATGGCCTCAAACTCGGGATCTCGCTGTCCATCCTCTACCATTGGCAAATCGTAGCCCAATGCTCGCAGACATGACTTGAACTCATGATGATTCAGCTTGCCGCTCTTATCCTTGTCGTAATGCCTACAAATACAAAAGAAAATGTGAGAAAATGTCATGTTGTAAAATTTGAAATAATCCAATGAGTTGGAATAGCAAGGAATAAAGTAAATAGACAATAAATGATGTCTTCTTAAGGAAACTAATTGATTTTATTACTTTTTTATTATCGTCCTTCTAGAGTCCTGTTTGAACGAACTAACCCACTTTACTTCAAATGAATTGACTTGAACTTGGGACTTTTTCAGTGTGTGTAATTTTCATTAAAATAGCTGAATGAAAATGGTTATTTTCTCAAGGAAGCTGACTACTTTTATAAGACTTTACGACTGAACAATTAATTAAATTATGAACTGTATTTCAACTGTGTTCCACAATTAAACATACAGCCTTCATAAAATGGAACTAAAGCAGACAAAGCCACTGGCACATCGGATCTGATAATTGACTGTATAAATAAAAGTAGAAACATATCAGTCAAGGCAAAAAGTCAGGGTGCTCCTGATCTTGTGTTATTGAACTAAATGTACTCTGAAGTCACTGGCATGACAAATATATCAAGTGATATATGTCTGAACGGAATGTGTCTGTCGGGAAAAAATTGTCGACATTGTTTCTCTTTAAAATATTGTGTTGGGTGATATATATTTTATATCATACATCCCATAAGATCATGTTATATGTTTATTAAATCTTTCTTGGTCTCCATGTCAAAGTCAATGTGTCCTCTTAAAGTCAAGTCATATAACATGTATAACGCTAATAAATGTATTCATTAATCCTACTATTATTACCATATAAATAAGCTATATGTCTAAAAAATCAAATTAACTTCTGTTACTGTAATCAGACATTTCCGCTGCAGTTTTAAATTCAATTGCATGAGTATTGAATATAACACATGGCATATTGTGATATAGAACCTATACATTGTTCTTCATTCATTTCATCATCATGCCAGTATATGTACTTTATTTTAAGGATTCACTGAAAATGGCGTTAAGTGATTATATTTTATTTGTACTTTACATGGACATGTGATGTGATATACACATGCATATGGTGCCTGGGAAATTTCGTCGAAATGTATCATCTGTCCGTTTTTTTCATTCAGAAAATCTTAAAAGTAGAAAAGGTTCTGTTCATTCATAAAGCTGAAAAACTTACTTGAACATCATGCTGAATTCTCTTAGGGCATCTTCTGATACACCACTTGTGTTGCGGGCCTGGATCTGTTGCTCAAGGTTATGCTGCATTCTCATACCCAACTGGTCAAGCTGGTCCCAAGCTTGAGCTAGACCAACTGTACTATGCTCTGTGTATCTAGGATATAATTAGTCTCAAATGAATACCGAGTGGGGAAGTTGGTTCTGAGTTGTATCTTTAATCCATTGTAATAATAGATCTGAATGAATATGAGATATCTAACATAAGGAATTTACTATACAAAAAATTACATAATTTGTGATGCAAAAAGCGACAAAGCATTAACATTCCAAATGTCACCACCTGCCATTTGTTACAGATGCCAATCCCCGCCCACCGAACACTGTCCACAAAAAAGTTGGAGACTAACAATATGTCAGTGTTTATTGTAACCAACTTTAGCTGACAATACATACCTGTTATCCAAAATGAGCCTCTCTTCCATTTGTGCACTCAAGTCCTCAATATGCTTTAATTGCCCCCTCTGGGCACGCACCTCTGCAGATTTTCCCTTTGTCGCCTCCAGTTGCGTCTCTAATGATCCTGCACCTTCCATCATGGCAGACCTAAAAATAGGATATTTAGAATAGGAATATTCCAGAATATTAAGGGTTTCAAAAGTCATATCAAAGTGGGATTATGGGAGATTATAAAATAATGTAAAGTTGATACTTTCAGTTTGTCATGCTTTAAGTACAGAAATACAAATAAAAGGGGAGAACTTGAATTGCACCTAAATAATATACATAAAGATTTATAAAGTTAATGAAGTCAAAAAGTAACTAATAATGAAGTCAAAAAGTAGTATTCAGTCACAATACATATTTTCTGCATGCTACATGCGCCACTTGGCATGGATAATAAAGTCATAATGTAAAGTTTCCTATTTTGAATATGGTTGGGAGATTGCTTGAAAGCTTCAAAACAATATATGTTTCAGAACAACCACAAGCATTCAAATCAAACAATGCGAGTATATTTACTCATTGAAAATGAAAATTAGTTAGTATTTACTGGGGATCCAACAGTAAACTGAAACCTGGGTGTTGCACAGTTCTTAGGATTCGGTCAGTACGTTTGGTTTGAAAACTGTATGTATGTTTTTTACGATATGTAAATTAAGAAAAAGAGTCCTGATTGCTGAAAAGATGATATGCAGATTAACCAAAGTTGTTCTGATACATGAGAAAGATACGTATGAAAAGAAGAAAATTTGCTGAAGTGTCAGTTTTGGTAACCTGATTTTTTCATTATAGTGCGATAAAAATCTAAAAACCGTGAACCGAACTGTACTGAGAAATTATGAAACCATCGGACCCCTAGTGTTACATATGTAAGCATACAAGGCACTCATTTTAATCATTTTAATTGGTTTATGCATATATAAGTCAACAGGTGATTGGTTATATACGTTCACACATCGACCACCATTAAGGACCAATGCACTGTTTGAAAAATTGTTTCATAATACAAATGTTTTTAGTCATGAGCATTTAATTTCTCTTATGAAGTTAACAAAAATGCAATAAAGCAAAATAAAGCAATATTGTTGGCTTAAATTAATTCAAAATACGTTATGTCATGTTTTAATATTACTGTACTATTGCTTTTAATGAGAAGTAAAATTCTAAAATGTATATACATGTATCATTTTTGTGCTTTTGAGTTAATTTCTCAGTATAGAAGACAAAGTGGTTTCAACTTTATAATGGTCCTCCAAGCATTCGCTTAATTGAAAATATCCTTATGAACAAACCACCTTACAGTGTTTGTTACTGGGTATTATGGACACGGTACCATACAATCCAGTGGTGACACTGCACTCACGCAACACAAGTTCTCTCTCATTATACAATGCACTTTCTCATATGACACCATGCAAACACTCTCATATGACACCATGCACTTTCTCACATGGCACCATGCAGTCACTCTCATATGACACCATGCAGTCTCTCTCATATGACACCATGCAGTCACTCTCATATGACACCATGCAGTCACTCTTATATGACACCATGCAGTCACTCTTATATGACACCATGCAGTCACTCTCATATGACACCATGCAGTCACTCTCATATGACACCATGCAGTCACTCTCATATGACACCATGCAGTTACTCTCATATGACACCAGTCACTCAACACAAGGAAAAGCATGCTTGCAATAAAATAATAATAATGAAAAATATTTCAAGGAGTGAATGGTGAATATTTGGAAGGTAACTTATGATAATGCCTTCCAAAATTATGACCATTGTAACATGCATGCTAATTCAAACAAATCCAAGCCAAGAATTATAGATATTAACCCATCCAATAGCCAGTATCTGCATACAACATCAAGAAATGGAGATGAAAAAGAAATAACAACATTTAATTTATACAATAGATAAAGATATATAAAGATGTAATTATGATTAAATGCCCTATAAAATACAAACAATATTCATTATCATTAAGAGAGTTCATTGGAAATGTAAACCTCATCTTCTTATCATTATTAATTATTACGGAGAATTATGGCAGCCAACCATCCTTTCAGAATTAATGGCGGACATCTTTCCAGTGAAAGTAGATGCAGTTAATTCGTTAGTTTGTAGTTAGTCAGTTTGTAGTTAGTTAGGCTGTAGTTAGTCAGTTTGTTGTTAGTTAGTTTGTAGTTAGTCAGTTTGTAGTTAGTTAATTTGTAGTTAGTTAGGCTGTAGTTAGTCAGTGTGTAGTTAGTTAGTCTGTAGTTAGTTAGGCTGTAGTTAGTCAGTTTGAAGTTAATTAGGTTGTAGTTAGTCTGATAATAACTGAGAGAGCAATATTCTAACAATCTTAACAATTAAACACATAAAGGTAAGTTGCTATCTGTCCACTGGTACAAAAGACCAAGGCACTGATGGTGATAAAAAACAATTACCACTAACTCCTCAAAAGGGCATTATTAATATTACAAAAAATTTCACTTGCTTTTATAACTGACAGGAAAGACTCAATACATATAAGGAAACAAAGTTGTTTATTTACTCCTATAGGGGGCAGCATAGGTTCTTATGACAGCAAAGATGACTTTGGTTACTATGGAGGTTGTGCTGATAGTAAAGTGTACTTAGATCTTTTCAGATTACAGAGCATATGAGATATCACAAAAAAAATTACAACTGAAGTTAAGCATAGGCACAATAAGTAAGCAGCATGCAATATATGAACAAGGCATTAACAAGCAAAATGTCACCACCTGTCATTTGTTACAGATGCCGAACATCAGATGCCAACTGCCGAACACTGTCCACAAAAAAAGTTTGAGATAACATATGTCACCAATTGTAGTTGTAACATAATAGGGAACCTTCCAACAGCAGAGACATATAAATTGCAATGTAAACCCTAATGGATTGGATAATACCTTTTAGACCAATTCAATAATGATTAAAAAGGGTATCCCATTGCCAATATATTTACCAATATACAAAATAATTATTATTATATCAAATTGTCACATTAACAGTCTCACATCCCACCTGGATGGTTAAATGTGATATTAATGACATTATAAACTAAGCCAAGGTGTCATTGTGACATTTTCACGAGTCAGTGATCTTAGCATCTGTGTTTGAACTAACAATAAGCAAGTTTCAGTGTTTTATTTTTAAATGGATTACATAAAAACATTGTTTGGTCAAACATATGTCAATTGAAAAAAAGAAACACGTCTGAAAATCTAAAATCAAAGTGCAGACAAGAATTTAATCTGGATGTCTACCTGTCTCTTCACCACTCAGCCACCCAACTACAATCACAATCACTTCCAAAAGTGTGATTAAATTTAATAGATTCTATGTTATATTTTTTATATCATCCAATGTCTATATTAGCCTATGTACTGCATCATAGACATCTCAATGTAGATAAGTGAGTACTTTCATTGACTAACACAGTGCCTTAATCCAAAGAGACAATAAAATGCTGATTATTTGTGAAAAAGACAATAAATGCTAAGTAATCCCAAAAAGGCTTTAAATTGACACTTTGCTTTTATCATGGTATGAAAATGCAAGCCCCATTCTGTAACTCAGGTGATATAAACATGAAAGCATAATGGCAAAAAATAACTAAAACTGAAGACTACTAACAAAATTACATTTTCATTAAAATGGAGAAATGTTACTGATATGTTCATTCACTGAGATATTTTACATTTTGTTTTAAAAACAGGATAAGCTGACAATGGGATTACACTTTTGTTAATAATACAATGAAAGTATTGATTTAGTTTCTCCGAAAACTGTCTGAGCCTGTGGCAATATCACGGATCGTTTTATTGACATAGCTAAACATAGATTTTCAGTTGAGGTAATCCATACCTATAACTTGGGGATGGTATGTAAAGGCCAACCATTGTTGAATAATAAGCTGATTTTGTGAGAAAGAGGCTAATTTCAGACGAGAAAAACAATGATTTTGAAGTAAAATTCAAGTCAATGGAGAATCAATTTCAAATAATACACATATAAGTGCCATATAATACATAGGTTACATTATTCCCAGGAGCTTACCTTCTACAAGTAGCAAGTGCACATTCCATACAATTAAACATTCATTCAGACTCAGAAGCATCCACAACAACATGCATCAAACATTGTATTAGTCTTGGGGGCAACTTTTGTTATTTCATTAATATTTGTATTTGATGTTCATTAAGAATGAACACTGGAATGTCAAATATTCACATGGTATTTTTCAAAATGGCAACTATAGGTGGCAGCACTAATGTTATATATCTACACCAGATGTCACTGTGCTGCTTTTATAAAACATAGAGACAGACCCTAAAATGTCACATTAAAACAACAAATGTTACAAAATTAGCTGACCAATATGTATGCCAATATATATAAGTATACAGGAATTTTTCATTTCACTGGTTATTAATTTAAGAGCATATTGAATTGAAAACATGATGAGTGTCTACTGAATGAAAAATTAACATCATGTAACAGTGCTGTAATTACGACATACCTCGTCTCTGTTAGCCAGCGATGGAACTGATTGGCTGCCTCAGCGTATTGTTTACGCAAGATATCATTCTCTTCTTGCCGCTGCTGCTCACGTTCAAGCTCATTGTCACGCTCCTGTGGGACAAAAATATGGTTTACTTGGTTGCCATTTCTTTGCAATGAGTTCATGATCTAATAAAGGGCCTTGGTTCGATACGAAGGAATGACTGAGGAATAGCAACAAATTATTCCTTAAAACATAAAACACAACAATTCTTTTTTTCGAAATATTCTTGTGAAATGGACAATCAACATCAAGGTGTCTCACCTTAATGATCTTCTGGAGATTATGCCAGGTGTCCTCCAGAGCCTCCATGGTGAACCAGGTGTATGGATTGGGGCCCACATGGAAACTCTTAATCTTGCGATCAAGATCAGCCAGCTGCTCGAAATCTGTCTTAGCTGCACTCAGTGATGTTTTGAATTGATCATGAGCCTCACGAAGTGCCTACAGAAAAATGATTGAGTTGTGATGTAAATAAATCCATTTACTTGCCCCAGAATAAATATGAGGTGCAATTTGAGATTTTGGAGCTTAGTTGCTCTCAGTGATGACTTCCGCTGATTGTGGGTTAGGTGCTAAATGTATGATTCAGCAGTGTAGATGCATTATGAATGACCATCAGATATGTACAATACACATATTATATAAGAACAAGACAATGACAATATTGCACTTTAAAAAAGTTTGACATCAATAAGAGATAAATGAACTTCTTGTGAGTTGAACACTTACTCTGATTTCTTCAACAGAGTTACAGCGAACAGGATCTGTCAAGTCCTCTTCGGCATTCTCAAACCAACTGTTGAAAGCTGAAGCCTTCTTAGCAAAGGTGAGATAGAGGTCCTCAACCTGTCTGTACTGTTCTTGCAGACGCAACAGGCGCTGTTTACGTGCCTCTGAGTCACTCAGTAGTTTCTGCCAACTGGATAGAATAATACAAGGTGAAACAATTCTGAACCACATATACACAAATCTATTTTTACATATTCACATGTGGGCATATAATTCAATCTTCGGATTTTTTCTTGTTTTTATAGTGGGTTATTACATTTTGAATAAAAACAAAAAACATAGAGTTTTACAAAAACATCTTATTACTACACAATCATTATTATAATCATTGTTAATAAATTCTATTTTTCATAAAATTATATACTCGTATAGTATGCAGCAGACTTATCACGTTTTCATGATTATCACCTTTCTTGTGAGTATGATTATACGTCATATTTTCTATTACTATGCAGTTACATAATATTAACTGATATAAATCTCTGTAAAAAATTGAAAAAATTGAAAAAACACATCCACAGCTTTCCAGCCATACCAAAATATTCCATCTACACTGTACCTCCCAGACATTTGAAAACCAATTTTCCGGCCCCTTTTCAGATTGACATGAGGGTAATTAACAGGAACTTTGTATACTCTCTTAATACAATATCATTATTTATCATATGATCTGTAAAATGAAGCCCTATGATTGGTCAGTTCTTGTGCTGTACCAATCTGTATTGCTACTGATATTGTCCCCGTTGATCATCTCCGTCGCAATACAGACAGAAAATATTGGTATGGAGGGGCCAATCTCAGTAGAAATACAGAGGATCACACAATAAAAACGTTATTGAATGATTTGAAGTGCAATACAGGATATATGCTGCTCGAGAGAAAATCTGTATTGGAACGAGACGAAGTTTAACATATAATCCATGGGTACTTGTACAACAATTGCCTAGTTATCTTACCGTTCGATGACATCATTGTATCTCTTCTGAATGGCTGGTGTCTGGGCATGGTTGGCCTCTAGGAGTTGATCCTTCAATGAGGTAATTGTCTGAATTCCCTCCTTCTCAAAGGCCTGGAGTCCTGCGTCGAAAGTTTCCTGTTTGGTGAGGAGTGTCTGGACTGAGGAGAGGTCACGTCCATAGTCGTCAGAGCGAACCTGCGTCTCCTTGTCGGCTGAAATTAAATACATTGCAATTAATTCCAAACCAGTAAAAGACATATTGGTGTTTAATAAAAGTATATGCACAGAACATCCTTTATTGTGTAAGTATTTGTCTTAGCCTTAAAATCAGTAAAAATAAAAAAAAATAAAAAAGACACCAAGTTGCAACTCAAACATGAATTCTTACTAATCCACACTTTATGACACGACAATCATGAAGATCATGACCCATATAAGGTAGATTCTCACCAATCCAGCTCTCTACGACATCAGTCTTCCAGATGAACTGCAAGAATGCAGAGTTGTCAATGAGCCTTGCTTTTCTGGTGGTAGCTGCAGTTTCCAATACATTCATCTTCTCCTGGAGTCCCTTGCAGCGAGTTGCAATGTTGTCAGCATTGTGGTTGCCCTAGTAACACAGAATTTTTAGCATTTATATTCTACACCCAGAAATTAGAAAAAAGAGCAAACATGATGTAGTTTGATAAGATGGTTAAACAGCATACTTGCACACAGTATAGGAAAATTATATTTTTAGTTAATACTTTTACATCATAACACACGTTTGCTTCATTCTAATCATTAAGACGATTATCACCCCATGTACCTACCTCCTCAATGAGTTTGTCTCCATCCTTGTATATCTCACTGGATCTGTCCTTGTGCACTTGGTAGTCAGTATCGAAAGCATCGTGTTTCTTGATGAGACCTTGAACAGCAGCAAGGGTGTCACCATAGTCATCTCCTGAGAGAAAGAAAACAAGTTTTGTGATAGGCAATTATACAGTCATATTAAGATAGTCATAAATCATACATAGTCATATTGATATAGGCATAAATCATACATAGTCATATTATTATAGTCATATTATAGTCATGAAACAAACACAGTCATTTAATGATAAAACATTTGTAGTCATATTATTTGTTAGGGATAAATCGATGGCCCATTCCTCAGATATGAGTATTATATTCCCTAAACACATCTTATTATGAGTTACATACATATACATTATTATTATATCTCACTAGCCCACTCCTCAGATATGAGTATTATTTACCATAAACACATCTTATTTTGAGTTACACACATATATACTGTTTCTTTCAACACACCTGACAGAAGATGTTGTTTCTCAGTTATCCAAGACTCTTCTTCTTCAATGCTGGCACTGTACTGCTGGAAGGCATATGACTCCTCCAGTTTCTTAGACCTACAACAGAAAGTTACATAAATACACAGACTAAAGACTAAATCTATATCCAAAACTCCATGTAAAAACTTATATAAATTCTAAAAATATGCTTTGACTCAGACATATCAGATTTAATCACAATGAATAGTTTACAAAATGTCTTCCACCATCTCTGAAATAAAAATTAACAGTGAACTCCCCCAAATCTACCCTTTTTTAAGATCCAATTAGGTTTCAGTTAAGACAGAAGACTTTACTGTTCCATATTTTCTTTTTGTTTTTTGTTCATAAGTTACCTGTTGTCTGCCAAGGCTTTCAGATCATTCCAGTTATCAGAGAGTTGTTTGAGACGATTCTCAATCTCCTGGGTGCCAATAGTGGAGTCTGCTATCAGCTTCTCACCTACGTTTTGTACAGCCTATAATATAATACACAGGTTAGAATGTGTAGAGTAAGACTGTGCACAGTTTACAATGTGTACAGAAAATGTGCACAGTTTAGAATAATTAGAAGTTTTAACTATGTAAGTAAAATATGCACAGTAAGAATGTGCACAGTTCAGAATGTGTACAGTTAGATTTGTGCACAGTGAAGAATATGCAGACTTTCAAATGCAGAGTTTGGAATACTGACTACTAACTAGATTATTGGCAACATAAGCATTTTTGAAAGATGCTATTCAGATAGAGCTTCAAATCTACAAAGTTTAGAATAATCAGTAATGTAAAGAATCCCTGAATTATAATTTCAATTTAATAGATGCCAAAGTGAAGATATCTATAGCCTAGTTGAGAATATTTGTGCATTAAGGCATGTTTAGATTTAGAACTACTTAATTGCCCTCAATTGTGATGGTACATGCAGTCAGAATATACAGTCTGAAGGAATGTGCAGTTTGTAATATGTCATATACAACAAAGGAATAAGCTGAATATTATAATTTGATGTGTACATAAATATATCCATTTAGAGAAGATATATCATAAACATTTTTAGTCAATGCTTGGATTTTTGTGCAAAACAGGAAATGTATATAAGCATATTAAAAAAAGTCTAGGCGTATGAGGAAATATAAAATACATGTATTCATAACTAAGCTGAGCCGGGGAAGAAAATAAAATGTGTATCTTTACAATATGCCATGCATTATCAAATACGATGTATGTGTGCCTGTGATCTGAGTATGTTAATATTAATGCCTCAGTCATATTTGATCTACAGCAACCAAACAGCGGCTATAGCTTCCCAAAATCGAGAGAAATATTCAGTACGATGTAGATTTTCTATATCGATTTTTTGAAACTAGGGCTGGCTTGTGGCCACTTTAGAGCAAATGTGACTAAGGCTTTAAGCATTGGCAGTTAGCAGAATAATGAACAGCCTCATGGCAAATTAGGTAATAAGCAAATGTAAATATAATGGATGGATGGTTGCCTTAAGGTTGGACTTAGTCTATCAATTTGCAGGCAAGATGTAACTGTTGTTTCGGTGATACAGTTTTTGGTTGACAGTCCATGTCCCAAATTAAACATAAAAATCCCTCGAGGCTGTGAGTTTGTATTTCATTTATGTCTCAACATAATCAAATCAAATGCCTTTAGCTATGTATTCTGCTCCAAATCTCAGGAATTTCTGATATTGGTCAAAAATCGTATTCTGCTTAGGTATTTGACAATTTGTTGTATAAATGATGTGAGTTGAATAAAGTAAGTTTAAGAACAGAAATACAGACAAGGCATTAACATGCAAAATGTCACCACCTGCCATTTGTTACAGATGCTGACTGCCGGATACCGAATGGCAACTGCCGAACCAAATACAAAACTATTAGACGAGTAGCAGCGGGCAATATTTGAAGAGATTAAACCTCCGAAAGGTTACTGGCTAATCTTGGTACCGTTGGAAAGCTTAACTTCTGCACTAACATGCTTGATGACTAAAAACATTCAGAACAGGTGGAAAAGTTCTTAAAAATGCTGGTTTCCATGGTAACTGCAAAGTTGTCACTATTAAGGCCCATGAATATACTTTTGAACATATCTAGATAACGCTTTGACCATATGTCTTGATAAAAGTATCACTGTAAAGATAATTTGACACAGTTTTTGAAAAAATGTATTTTTTGGATTATTGGACTCATTGTGATGTCATAGAACCAGAAACAGCTGATTTTTCGGTGATTTTGACAGAGTTTAGACATGTATCATATGCTTCTGTAAGCTACAATACTTAAAGTAAACTATGTTTTGTCTTTAAGTGACTTAACACAACACATAGTATTAGTATATCAAACAAACAATATCACTATGATTGTGATGTCATAATACAAAGAGATAGAGGCCTAATTCAAATATCTAATATCGAGATTTTTGACAAATCAAGATATATTTGAGGCATTTATACATTTTATACATTTTCAATGATAATTTAAAAAATCCTCAACAATATAATGTTATGTTTAATATATCGATGAAAGGGTTACTGGCAAATCATGGTACTGTTGGAAAGCTTAGCATCTGCACTAATATGTTTGATGACAAAAACAATTCAGAACAGGTGAGAAAATTCTTTTAAATGCTGGTTTCCATGGTAACTGCAATGTTGTCACCATTAAGGCCCATGAATATACTTTTGAACATATTTAGAGAACACTTTGACCATATGTCTTGATAAAAGTATCACTGTAAAGGTAATTTAACAAACTTGTTGAAAAAAGGGTATTTTTGAATTATTGGGCTCATTGTGATGTCATAGAACTAGAAACGGCTGATTTTTCGGTGATTTTGACAGAATCTAAACATGTATCATATGCTTCTGTAAGCTACAATACTTAAAGTAAACTATGTTTTGTCTTTAAGTGACTTAACACAACACATAGTATTAATATATCGAACAATCAATATCACTATGATTGTGATGTCATAATGCAAAGAGATAGAAGCCTAGTTCAAATATCTAATATCGAGATTTTTGACCAATCAAGATATATCTGAAGCATTTATACATTTTATATATTTTCAATGATCATTTAAAAAATCCTCAACAATATAATGTCATATTAAATATATCGATGAAAAGGTTACTGGCTAATCATGGTACCGTTGGAAAGCTTAGCATCTGTGTAAACATGCCCAATCCCTAAAATAAATCAAAACAGGTGAGAACATTTTTAAAAATGATGGTTTCCATGGTAACTGCAATGTTGTCACTATTAAAGTCCATAAATATACTTTTGAAGATATCTATGGAACGCTTTGACCATATATCATGTTTAAAGTTTCATTGTAAAGGTAATTTAACAAACTTGAGAGATTTTTGACATATTGGGATAAATTTGGAGAAATCTTAAGATAATTTGAAAAGCTTCAACAATATGTCACGTTCGATACATCGTCGAAAAGATAATTCCACAACTGCATCATAAATATATATCTAAGTTTTTTTTAGTGATTTCTACCAAATGTTATAATATGTGTCAGGTGTTTCTGGAGGCATATGGTACTTATATGTAAAATTATGATAAATAAAATTATGATAAAAAGCTACATGTACGTGTATCAATATGTCAGGCAAGAAAAGTTTAGAAATTTAGTTGATACTTTAGGTTGAGATTTACTTTAAGCGCTCGGTTCCATAGTAACCATTTAATATTTTCTATATATTCAGAGATAACAGCATAGTGCAGAGTGGGCATATCTCAGTTGTTCTTGTACAAATGAGTTAATATATATACATAATAGGATTTATTAGTATTGATGCCATTTTAGGGCCAAACATACAATTTACAACATACAACATACAATTTTCATTAACAGTAAAAATAGCAATAAAATAAAGAAAATAGGATTACATTCCTCAAATGACATATTTGAAGACTATTAGTTTATGGTTTATTATTCATATTACAAAGTTGTTGTTTGAATTAATATTGGTACCCTATGAAAACAAAAAAAAATATTTCTGATGTTTTTATGAAAACAATATTCAAATAAGCTAATTTTCATATTAATAATGGCATCAAGACCCGTAATTTTGATATATTAACACCACTATCAAATGATCACAGCCGTGGCCTGACTTTGTTTACATTTCTTAGGAACATATCAGATTTCAGTAAAAAATGCGACCCTACCCTACAGAAATGGCGATAAGTAGTGCTTTAACAGTCAATATTTGCTCATTAATAGCCCTTAAAGATTCCCTAGTATGAACGGGTTGTGCTTAAATAGCCAAAATTGATTTCTTAATAGCCCTTAGCAATTCCCTTATATGGGTTGTGGTAAATATCCCAGATTGGTTTCTCAATAGCCCTTAGTGATTCCCTTGTATCCTCTAGATTGGTTCTAATAGCCCTTAGTGATTCCCTTGTATCCTCTAGATTGGTTCTAATAGCCCTTAGTGATTCCCTTGTATGCTCTAGATTGGCTCTTAATAGCCCCTAGTGATTCCCTAGTATGCTCAGGTTGTGATTAAAATGTCCAATTGATTTCTTAATAGCCCTTAGTGATTCCCTTATATGCTCAGGTTGTGCTTAAATAGCCCGAATTAGTTTCTTGATAGCCCTTAATGATTCCCTTATATGCTCGAGTTGTGCTTAAATAGTCCCAATTAGTTTCTTAATAGCACTTAGTGATTCCCTAGTATGGCCGGGTTGTGCGTAAATAGCCCCAATTAGTTTCTTAATAGCCCTTAGTGATTCCCTTATATGCTCAGGTTGTGCCTAAATAGCCCCAATTGGTTTCTTAATAGCCCTTAGTGATTCCCTTATATGCTCGAGTTGTGCTTAAATAGTCCCAATTAGTTTCTTAATAGCCCTAAGTGATTCCTAGTATGGCCGGGTTGTGCGTAAATAGCCCCAATTAGTTTCTTAATAGCCTTTAGTGATACCCTAGTATGGCCGGGTTGTGCGTAAATAGCCCCAGTTAGTTTCTTATTAGCCCTAAGCGATTCCCTTATATGCTCGGGTATTGCTTAAATAGCCCCAATCGGTCTCTTAATACCCCCTAGTGATTTCCTTATATGCTCATGTTGTGCTTAAATAGCCCCAATTAGTTTCTTTATAGCCCTTAGTGATTCCCTAGTATGCTCGAGTTGTGCTTAAATAGTCCCAATTAGTTTCTTAATAGGCCTTAGTGATTCCCTAGTATGGCCGGGTTGTGCGTAAATAGCCCCAATTAGTTTCTTAATAGCCCTCAGTGATTCCCTAGTATGGCCGGGTTGTGCGTAAATAGCCCCAGTTAGTTTCTTATTAGCCCTTAGTGATTCCCTTATATGCTTGAGTATTGCTTAAATAGCCCCGATTAGTTTCTTGATAGCCCTTAGTGATTCCCTTATATGCTTGGGTAGTGCTTAAATAGCCCAAATTAGTTTCTTTATAGCCCTAATTGATTCCCTAGTATGCTTTGGTATGCTCAAATA